ATACTTGTACCCAGGAAGTGTATTTTCGTCACAATAACCTTGTTTGCAACGCCGGGTGACCATTGGATACTACTTATACTACTTACTACTTATTATCAAATATTCCACCAAGACCATCAGGTCACGTTTGTTGCGGTTAGTAGCATCTAACCCACTTACAAAATATCGAATCATAGCATTGATTCTTCACTGGACTGGCTCTGAAAGAGCTGTCTATCGAATGGTCGCCCGGCGTTGCAAACAAGGTTATTGTGACGAATATATATATATATTATTTTCATTTTAAACATTTATCTTTCGGACAGTTACGGTTTATTTACAAAGGTCAACGATCTGTTTCTATTCGTTTGTTGCTAACGCAAGCAATTGGCAAAGTTCTATTAGTGAATGACCGAGCAAAGTGCCAAAACTCAGCAATTACTGTACATCGAGTTGAGTTCAGCTGGATTGCAGTGATAAACCAAAGAAGGACCACCGACGGTGCCGAGTACTAATCTATGATGCATATCGTTTTCAATAGCGTTTTATTTGTTATGAAATATGGTAAAAATGAAAAACATAAGAAAATTTGAGAGTGATACTTGGCTTGACTCAAGACAGTTTTCACAGGTTATCATCTTCATCCTCTAACAGTTCTCGAATTTCGACCAGGCGAAAATCTATTTCTTTGCAACAGATTCGCATAGTTGAAAGTCAACTGGACAGCTGTATTGTCCCGGTTTGAGCTCATCAAAACAGGATGCATTTTTGGGATGCTTACGTTTATGGTTGCCAATTCATCACCTTTTGTCTTCTGGGAACTTTGTATACGCGCGGAAGATTCAAGTTCTTACTTGGCACAATTCGACTGATGCTAAAATTTTATTCGCCACGAAGTGAAACAAATATCACCATTGGTATTTCGCTTTACGATGTTAATTGAGGAGAGAACTATGGTCCATGCAATAGTTAGAAGATAAAAATGCTCCAAACTGTTTGCTGGTAAGCCAAAAGGCCCGTTATCTTAGCGAAGGATAAATGTTCCCGGCTTCCTGATCAGCCGTTCAAATTTTGTGCAACTGGACACGCATAACTAATACGGTGCAGAGCAGGTTATCACACGAAAGATATGTTACCGCGTAATAGTTCCGAGTTCCTCATCTAAAGAGGAAGGAAAATGTGATAATCTGAAGTAAACAGAAGCATTTTGCAGCCGTTTTTCCTTTACTGCATCCCAGCACCTGTGCAAGGTACCAGTGTGTGTCCAAAGGCTGTTACTCTTTAAAAGCATTCACTTACCGGACCGCAGTTTCCACACCGAGGATATCAAACGGACCCAAATCCATCGACTGAACTGAATCCAAATCTGATGCTAAAACAATAACCAATATGAAAGTCGTGTTTGGGAGTTGTTGGAGTATAATGCAGCAAAAATGCGTTTCATCATTGATCACACCCGCACTACTACTGCAGTTATTTCCTGTATGAGATAAAAGTATTTTGCTGCACTCAACTCTGGTTCAACCAAATTGCTCAATCGTTTTTTTTAAAAAACCCCTTGCTTCAAAATGTAACTGACCGGACGGGTTGGGATCAATCGTTTGTGGAAGATAGTCCCGTGCTGGTCAGTTGAGTTTTGGCCTGACACGCCTTTTTGTGGCACTTTGTGGTTTCGCTTAAACTCTGTAACTTTTGGACGTATATCGGCAGCAAGCATAGCGAAACACGCCTTGAAACGAAACGATAGATCAACATACCCAACTCTACGTGGAATAAGGTGGTGTGAATGTGTATGATAGATGGAGATTCCCGTAAGCCGTTCCACCTCATCTGGCTCGTTGATAGAATGAAAATATCTGTGAGGTTGACACTATCCGGCTATTCACAATCACCATGCTGTCTGGACACTTGTCAAACATAACTTAGCTACTTACCAGAGTTAGGTTCTCACATAGCTACTCCAACACATTTCCCATATGCAATTCTAAAAGGTGGGAATTCGACCTCTGGGACATCATAAAGCACAGGGCTCTGATAGTCTTCCTAAGCAATATTTGTAGATTGCTGAAAACAGATTATCGGGGCTACAATTTCTGTTCTAAGGTGAATTCGTCGTGTATATAGCAAATGAACGGTGNACGTGAACTGAAAGGCTAGGAAGCACTGGACAGCTGTTTCGACCTGTTTGAGTCTCCTCAGCAGTGCAAATCCATCGACGCAACTGGGCATCGAACCCGGGACCTCATAGGCAGGACGCAACCGTGCTACCCAATAGGCCACTGGGCAGCTGAGATGAAACCCAACCAGATCAAAACAGCTGCCCAGTGCTTCCTAGCTTTTCAGTTTTCACGCTTCACTGGCTATATACATGACGAATTCACCTCCTCCATTACTCACTTGAAATTTCTGTTCTACAGGATTTGACACACCGAGTCAGTTCCCTTTTTGTGAGCACAATCAATTATTGTCGTCCTGTTTACATGTTGGGCGTCGACGTATGTAGAATAGTTGTATTCTGCTTGAAAATCACGCCTTGGTTTCTCCTACGAATCTCTATGAGGCGCACAGTCGACTGATAAAATTCAATACTGACATTTTCCGCGGTCTGTTCATCATAGGGGTTGTAACTTTCGGAGAAAATCTGTCTCATAACCTGAGTAATAGCTATGTGACAAAAAAAGTCGTTGCTTTGTCTATCACTTTCTTGCTTATGTTTTCTGGAAATTTTTGTCTTTCATTCTACTTCAGGTCTGTTCAATAATCCCGCGTCTAATTGCTCCACTATCTTATTCGACCGGAGAAAGAAAACAAGATTCACATAAACTGATGCAACATCGATTGAATGATAACACGATCAAACAGGAAAAAATTACCATCGGTCAGACGATCGAATGCCGGTTTATCAAAATGTGTGGTTGCATATCGCCGGGCAAGAAGACAATTCTGTAAAAATAAACCAAGATCCATGTCTGTAAATAACAATGGGGTGGGTGAAAAGGAGGATGATCATGGTGCGGTTTGGGTTATTTCCAACAAAAAGTAAAAATATAATGCTCCGGTAATATCTACAAAACCTGGAAAGATTTCTCAGACACTAAAGTTGATGAATTCGCGTGAACAATACAAAGCGAGTGTACATTAAACCAGGGCCTGCCTTGAAAGGGGTGTTGTTGGTCGATGGGTTTCAACCCCAAGGCTCAGTGACATGAATATCGCTTGCATCGCTAATGAGCCCTGACAAGCACAAAACAGTTATCCAATGCTCTTTGTTGGACAGCATGCACAAACTTCCATTGCTATATCCTTACTCCAGTGCTCCTTTTAGATTCAAATCTGGTAACCTGGTTCCGTTACACGAATTCTAACTACCCTAGCAATGACTCTCAGTAACTCGGGAACATAAAATAATAGACACGGTTTCGAAAATTAGGTCTGAGAAAATCTAGTCAGTATTCTTTTGTATACCAAAACAAACCAATTTGTCAGGTATACACATGTGAAATGAAACAATGAGAAACGAATCTTTATCGTCATCTGAAGAAATAAAGAGAAATCGTTGTAACATGTGATTTGTTATTAGAAACTATTTTCTTCGGTCCCAGCAATACTCAAATAAACCTAAGAAAGTACCTGGATGGTTAAGACTGATATAGCCCTGTGTTCTTTTCATCGTCATGTAATCATTATTCAGGAAGCGATCAACCTGAACATAGACAGCAACAAATGGAGACTTATTCGTCTCCCTTGGAATATTACGGCATGTGAATCTTTTCATAGTTAAAAAATGAAAATAGACATATTGACTTCCCTGAATGAAAATATTACACAATTTAACTTTATTTCGACCGGTCGTGTGCACTTTCTGGCAACATTCCATGAAGCACCTTTTGCAACATTAATTTTAGTCAGATATCACCATAGCTGAACATTAGGTGATGGTGTTATCAGTGAAATGTAAGAGTGGGTAGCATTCTGGCGTACACCAACATCAAGTTCCTTCCAGTTCGGAGGAGAATGTAATCCACTGATCATCCTGTCGGCTAACCTGTGTAGGCGTGCCAATATCTTATGATCACATGACTTTCATGGACTCCAGGAGTGAATGGCATACTCGCTGTACGGTAATATAATAGTAGACGCAAACCGACGCATCCAGAGAGGGAGTACCAATTACATGAACTTCTGGATGTTGACCGACAGTTCCCGATTAAATAGATCCAGAATTACTCAGAACAAATGTTCAATCTTGTTTTAAAACATCTTATGGGAACAAGACATGCAGTTAACCCAAATTCGTCTTTCAAAGCACTATTGCGTAATCGCAATGCTAAACTTTTGGCAATTACTGAAGCAATGCCTATTCGATTACATTACCCCACCTTGTGCGCGCATAAGTTGATGATACAATCAATCCACAGGCTGTGGAGTTGACCTTCCACTTCTAAATTTAGTAATCTTCGTATGCTTGTACACGTTCCTTCACCATAACTGGTTAATCCCATGTGCTATATATGTGCCTGTTTGTTTTAAGTCAGCGACTGAGAAGATTAAACGAAATGTTAACACCCGGTGACATTTGTCTTCTTTTTGTATTGATGAAATTCTTATTCCGTTTAGAAAGCAATATCTTGCTCAAGTATCAAACATTACCTGAGTCTAGGTAACAAAAAGGAGTATCTGTTTGTGTTACAAGTAGTGCCACATGGCTGATACCTCACGCTTGTCTATTCCGTAATACGTCACCAGATTAAAGAAAATGACTGACACGCAAAATGCTACACAACAAACCTTCGCTGGTAGAATCCACTGATGGTAAATCACCACAGATAAACCGGTTGATAGTTTGTCGACTATGTTCAATCCATTGATCCGCGCATTCCACCGAATCAATCAATCGTTTGCCTGGATTGACCGAGGACTGTAAGGCGTGCAGGAATGTGGAAACGCGGACACACGCGTTCTCCTCCGTCAGAGATATTGGGAGTGGAAACAAGCTCTCGTACCACGATGTGCATGGGTAGTGTGGACACTGAGATTTTCGTCGACAGGCGGGCATAAAGTACTCATGAATGGCTGGATCATCCACATTCGGCGGCCGCACAATCACCGGGTACGGGTACGGATTGGGACTGTGCTTTTGGTGGCAAACAGGCCAGTAGTAAAATTGTACATATGGAGGTCCAAATAATAGGATACTTTTCAAACCAATAAATTGGGTTCTATGCACTTTCCATGAATTACGATGCAATTGTTCAAATACGCATGTCAATACTCGACGTCCACGATGCATGTATCCAAGCCAGATTTATTTTTCAACCAGATTTGATCATAAAGAATCAAAACACAGGAAATGAAACGATACGGTTTCTATCGCAATTAGGTAAAGTAAAGATGTAGATGACTCAATTTGTGTAGTCTTAAGTGACAGATTAGGACAAGAACTGACAACATGGTCCATGGTTCATGGTTCATATCGTCTTTAGTGATAAACCCATATATTCAAATGGTTGCGGCCATCAGAAACTCACAAGTTGAGCATGCAGCCGGATGTCACGACGTCACCACAGATGTCTCAAGTTAGCAAATGCCAACCGGGCCTTCTGTATGCGAGCTGACACTTCATCCGTGATGCGTCCACCGAGTGAGATATAGCTACCTAAATAACAAAACTTATCCACTTGGTGCATTACTTTCGCAGTCAGAGTGAGCCTGGGTGTTGGACAAATTCAATCTTGTATTAATTTTCTACACTTTGAAGGTGCAAAACGCACACCGAACACGGTGTTCATATGCCGCTAAACCTTTGGGTTCATTGTTACTTTTTTATTTCCCTTGTCTTGCAGGTTGCTTGAAAGCCCCTGCAAAGAAAATCTACCTTGAGACCTGTATCCTATCCGTGCACTGATAGCGTCGGTTAATGACCAGGGATTGTGCGGCCTTTCACGACTATGCTAGTAATATAAGAACTCCAACCGGGTTGTCCGGACTCAATCTCCTGCCAGTTTGTTTCAAGTGGATTCAGAATTAGGGTCAGTGAGGCATACTAGTACCCTATCAATTCAGGCTTGACATATTGCAGATTGTTGTTAGTATTACGCCGTCAGTACCTCCCTTTGATCTAAATAAATTGGGCAAGAAATATATTATTGGTTGACAAAAAATAGATAAATAAAAACGGTCGAACATATAATGTGTGTAACTTAAAACGTATTCAGTTCATTTGGTTGAAGTATGACTAAGAGCGCCAAACAAAAGGAAACTTTCCGTTGGAAAGATGTTGTCAAAAAAATTGATTTAATCGATGTAATCTGATGTAAACTGCACGTAAAACCAATATATATGAGCAAATAAATAAGGAAAAAGAACTAATTTGTGATGTGGTTCTTCTCCGTTCGCTAACGTTTTCAATAGAATCGTAAGGGATCGAAGATTGTATGCACACATGTATGTAGACGGTTAAAAATAGCCTCCGTGGTGGATTTCAGAACTGAATAAGTTGAAGCATTTCGACGGAGTTGCTCTGATACTGATACTGGAATTTGTGAATTTGAAAACTGGAATTATTGCAAAGGGTCTCCATCAATTGCCAAAGAAATCTTTGATCCATAAGATATATCAAGTTCCAATATTATGGGTGAACGATTGTTGGAAGCAAAACTGTGAATACGTTTGTGTGAACCGATTAATTTCAAAACAGAATTCAATGAATGTAATGCTACCGTAGGTTCATCATACTGATAATGAGGTAATATTTCTTCGCTGGGGAGATAAAGAAGAGCACCATTAGGACGGCTGATATATATGCGGTACTCACGCAATTTAATTTTCTCGTTCTACACGAAAACCTCTTTGCGGTTTTGTGCCGCCGCAGTAGTGCAGACAAAAACGCGGTCTTCACAAGACTTTTAATGCAAACTAAAGTTCCGGGAATATTTATTTATTTTGCATCTACCTATTAAGAATCTACTCAACCAGGAGAAATAAACAAGTTCTTAATCAGACAACCTACAAGTTGAAAAATGTGTGCAGTCTCCGTACAGCTTTTCTTCAATTTCAGCCGGGGAATTAGGTCAGGTAGGAATGAGGATCAGATGAAATAAAGAAATGTTTTCACAGTGGTTGTATTGATTGATTAAAGGTTGCTGGGATGAACTATTGGCTAAGAATTCTGGGTGCATTTTCCAAAGAAAAATATTATATGTAATTAGCAAAATTAGTGATCACTACTAAAGACTACAGACCAGAGTGTAAAGGGGTACAAAATCAATGGGGACTGATAATCGAATCATTCATAGCTGAGTTTCCCAGGGTTGGAGAGAGATAAAGATTTGTTTAACTGCATAGACCGCATGGGTTGTGCTGATGCAAGCGTCAAGTCCCCGACAATCAGGGGAACATTCTAGTTCAGCAAAGGTGGTAGGAGTTATTCATGCGTTTTGTGAGCCATTCGAGATAACTCAAATTATACGGTCTTTATAAATCAGTGTATTAAATAAAACCTGTCACAACTATCATTTGAAAAACGACTGTTTCCTGAAAGATAACATGTGATGCGCTCTTACAAACGTCAACAGACGATTAGGCAGCTGATTTCCTCTTCACTCAAGTGATCACAGGTATTGTGAATTGGAAATATAACGATAACAGTAAAAATAATAATCATAGTAGCAGTAGCAGTAGTCGTAATAGTAGGAGGACGAGGAAGAGTAGCAGTGGTAACCTGCGTTAGTTACAACGCAAACGACTGGAGTCCTTTCCGCCTCAGTGGACATCAAAATTTACAACTTATAATGTCTTTCTTCCAGGTTTCTTACGGGTAGCTATTAGGCTTTATTTGTGCACGAGGTATACCTTTCCCGAACTATCGAATATCTCGGTGTATTCCTAAAATTTATCAGGAGTTGAATCCAGTTTCCCGGTACCACACAGCACTCACATTGGGTACTCGTTCGTTCAGTCAATACATAATAAAAGCTCAATCAATCTTCGAACATGTTGCCCCCCCCCCCCCNAACCGCTTGTAGGAAGAAATCGAAAAGAGTGCCGGAGGTACTGTCGGTAAAGGTTTCCAGAAAATATGAACCGGCGGCTCGTGTCTCATCGTACCATACGTAGTTGATAGATTAACCTTTGATCAAGCCTGAGAGATACTGCACAATGTGATGCGTTATTTTGGCCCAAATACGTACTACGGGTTGCAGATAGTGGAACGAAAATCAGGGAGGTTTCATTGTTTATTGAATAAGTGCTCACGAACCATCGTTAGCCGTGCCAGTACCGGAGGACGTGATATGTTTTCGCTTGACAACAGTTCTAACCGCAAACACGATGTGAGTACGGTGACGGTAGTGTGACGCGGCCAATGCATCATACCGACACTAATTAGCTCATCATACCCAAATCCGTACCACATCTTGGACATGGCTTTGTGAAATAGAATAATAACAAAAATGAAAATTTCGTTCATTTCTAATATGCTTAGATTGCACAGTCAGTATTCAGAAAGGGGATCACCGACTATTAAAATTGCGAATCGATGGGCAGGGCAATGCATGGCCTGTTTAGAAGATCGATCGGTGGACCAAACTTCCGTTGATCGAATGCAAACGGGAGTCATGCAATGAATATATCATTAGAAATTTATTACCAACCACAAGACACAAGAATGCACAATTCATGCCTTTGGCGCTTTTCTAACGGACTCAGTCAAGCATTGACGAGTAGTACCTCCATGTTCATTTTTCCTGCCAGGGTGGGTTCAGATTGGAACCTTGACGAATAGCTCTATATCGAGGGTTATTCTAGCTTTGTTTTCATGGTTGGCTACTGTTGTGTCCCAAATTTAGTAGGCAAATGAGCACACAACGAATGAAGCAGTAATTTTATTGAAAAACAGCAAATATGTGGCCGGTACACAAACCGGGGATCAAGTAGGAACGATCAGTATGTAGAAAGGCAGACAGGCAGGCAGAGTTCGGCTCACACGTCACAGTACATGCGAATGCCGTCAAGCCAGAATTTAAACAGTCAGTCAATCGATCAACCGACCGATCGACGAATTAATTTGACCATGGGAATGGACGAACACAAATCAGTCAGTTGTAAGCCACAACACCACCCCCGAGAAGTAGTTAATGCCCTCACAAGATCTGCTTTCA